GGCGCACAGCACATGCACGGCCCCGCTCCCCGGTGCGCTGCGCCCCTTACAGCTGCCATCAGGCGCCCCACATAGGTTGGCGCCCTGGGCAGCTGCCCGGCTAGCCCCCCTCCTTAGTCTGGCCCTGTGCACCTCTCTGAATGGCAACACGAGCAGGATAGTGAATAGACATGTATTCTATTCTATTCTATTCTATTCTATTCTATTCTATTCTATTCATGGAGTTCTCCTCCACCCCTGGGCTGGAATCTTTCACCCTGGTCTCTCCACTATTAGCACAGCTGCCATTCCAAGCTCTGGAAACAGAGCAAAAAGCTACATTTCACTAAAGTAGAGCTGCTCAAGGTAAACCCCTCCTGCCCAAGCCCTGCCCCAAAGCTGGAGGCCCCTCCTACAGCCCAAAGCTCTCATCCTCAGCTCACACCTCAGGCACATTATGTTGGGTCACGGGCTCCAACAATTTTCTTCACCTGGGTCATGAGAAAAAAAAGTTGGAAAACCACCGTACCCTCTGCAACACATTCCCTTCTGCAATACAGCTGCGTCTCCAATATGCATCACGCTACAGTATCTCTGTCTACAACACAATCCCCTACCTATCCTGTTGCCAGCCTCTGCCCCTTTCTAAGGCACAGAGATATCTTCCAGGAGGTAGGATCAGTTTTACAGCAGGCATATGACATTGATTTCCCCCCGCCCCCTTTGTGACAACCCTTCAGCAAGGGGAATTGTGAGTGCTCTGTTTGTGCCTAGGAGAAAAGTAGCTTTATAGCAGAGCAAGCATTGTGGGAAGAGCCCAAGCCATGCACTGGGGCTTTTAAAATGAACCATCGCTACACCTTTGGGGAATTCTTGGTTTTAACGAGTTAATGGCTCTTTTTCTGAGTCTCCTCCCCATGCCTCCCTGCTCCTCCAAGGTAATTATCACAGGAAGCTGTAGGGCTCCTGGGTCAATAATTAACTTAGCAGATTGTCAGATGAACAGGAGGAAAAAACACAAAAGGAGGCATTGCTTTGTTCCATGTTCCCAGTGCCCAGCACCCAAGAGTGGCAGGGGCCCAGACCCCACAGT